TAATCTCAACGCAATCCAAACTCCGAAACAGTGATAATGTCGTTTCTGCTACGTGACGCTGATAAGTTAAACTTTTCGAAGTTTTGATATTTTCGTGAGGTCGTCCTCCTACTTGTGCTGTAAACCGTAAAACCTTTTTTGACGTTTTATATTACCAACAAGGTACTTGTTTACTATATAAACAAAAATGTGTCCATAGTACACGGATGCCCCACTCGCACTATCATTTTCTATGTTCAGTGGGCCGTGAAAATGATGTCAAAACTCTAATTTGGCATTAAAATTAGAAGATCATATCATAGGAAACATGTGTACTAAGTTTCAAGTTGATTGGACTTCAACTTCATCAAAAACTACCTTGAACAAAAATTTAACCTGAAGCGGGACAGACGGACGGACGAACCGACGGACGAACGAACGGACGCACAGACAGAAAAACATAATACCCCTAAGTGGGGCATAAAAATGAAGTCGGTGATTGTAAAATATTATTATCTTTCATCAATCACACGGAAAGAATGTTGGGTAATTTCCCTTGTACTTTTTTCACAGCAGGACCATTTATAAAAAGTTATTCAATCTTAACTTAAATTCATAGCATCATAGATCAATGTATGTCTTTTGTAAAGTTCAAACAATAATATAGCTAATTTTTAAACATATCATCAAATTGTAAACGCCTGAAGAAAGCCAGAAACACAGAGTAAGGCAAATTTTAAGTATTTATCCCCAAAACGTATAAGAAGGACACTCTTAACCAAAACAAAAGGGGATAGTCTTAAAGGGGCATTAGCTGTCAAATTCATGATCACCGATTTGACCCAAATTCTCATATGTGAATTATAACATACTAAAAATGAAATCCAAGTTATACAAGTCTAAAACAAACACTTTACAATACATGGGCTCAATAACATGTATCAGGATTTCGTGTGTATTTTAGTTTAGACGCCATCTACTTAACCATGGAGGTGACCTCCGAAGACTGCCGATGGTCATATAACCCGATGTAGACATAAATATAGATATAAATAGACAGCGGACTCGTGCAATAAAATTTTTCTAGGTCTGTTTGATTTCATAATATAGGTTACAAATATATTTTAATCATCGTGTTTACCTGTATAAGAATGAGTTTTTGTGGATCGAATCAGTCAATCAAATGGTTTACCCTTTTTTCACTTTCAATGTTGACATTCTTTTCCTTTTAATAACTGAACACGCCTAATTCATGCGTAGCCCAACTCTAACTAAGGGGTTAAATTGAAGGTCACATGAATACGGCTTGAATGAGTTCGAATTATTCACTTGCAAGTGAATAATTCATCAGCGATGTTTCTTTGCTTATTTTGACAAAAATGAACCAAACTGGCTGCTTAAAAGCGAATTATTATTTCACTATTTCACTTTCATTAAAGATTGAACAAAAAAAAAATCATATTTTAATTTCTTTTTTATCTCGGAGCTAATACCCCTTTAAATAATTCATTTTCTTTGGGGAATTTGACAAAAAATGTAAAATTACCATTTTTTTTCTTCATCAAATCACCTTCAACAGCAGCATGTAGCGCCTAATTAAAGGTTGATGATATGGAAATATGTTGAATTGTTGAAACATGTTTAAAGTTAATGAAATTGACTTTTTTGTATAGAATAAGACAATAGATACCAAATGACGTAGCAGTTAAAATTTATTTTCTATTAATATTTGATTATTTTTTTATATCATAAAGTTTATGATCAGAAGCCAAAAAAAAAAAACAACATAATTTTAAAAGAAAAAAATTATGAATTGTTTTCATACATTTGATGATGTTAAGATAATTTTATGAACCTTTTCTCCAGTTTTACGTGCATTTTATATGGATAATTTAACTTTTTTAGAATAACTCATCCAATTATATTGGAGAAAATATAAGTTAAAAATGTATTATTTTTTAATTTTTAGTTAAAATCGTAAGCAATCAAAAATAAATCTAACATGGTTCATTTACTGTAAAATAACTTTAAATTTTAATTCCAGAACGTATAGGTATTGGAGCAGATTTAAAAGTAGAAATACACTATCTTTATAAGGTATGTTTTTCATTATTTAATTTTAATTAATAATCGCTTTTTGTTTCAATTGAAATAAACGTGAAAGACAAAGAGGCAATGAACGTGTTACCACGAAACTAGCAAAGGGGAAAAGTTTGCTGTGACAATTGATATAAGACCGGTTTGTCATGCTTCACAAGACGAATATCGATGGCCATGTTAGAGATATTTAATATAAACTAAATGAGCATATAGTAGGTACTTTTCATCAATCGATGTTTTGTCCATTTGCTTGATAGCTTTTAATTTCTTTAATTTATATTATGTATTTTTAATATTAAAGAAGAAGATGTGGTATGATTGCCTATGGACAACTTTCCACCAGAGACCAAATGACGTAGAAGGTAACAACTATAGGTCACCATACGGCCTTCAACAATGAAGAAAACTGACACCACATAGTAATCTATGAAAGGTCCCGAAATGACAAATGTAAAAGGATTTGAAGGAGAAGACTAACGGCCTGATTTATATACAAAACAATAAACGAAAAACAAATATGATATAAAGCAACAAAAGGCAATTATTGAATTACAGTTCTTGACTTGGCATAGGCACAAACAAACAGAATGTGGCGTGTTTAACATATTTGCTGGCGGCAAACCCTCCACCTAACCTGGAACAGTGGTGATACAGTACAACATAACTATAAAAATCAGTTGAAAAGGACTTAATTCGTAAGATCGATACAAAGCACAAAAAACTAACAAAAGCAAAAAAGACACAAAGTACAGATCTGAGAGTACTTGCAGTTACTGAAAGCTGGTATAAAGCCCATAACAATTAATAAAAAAAATCATGAATCTAAGACTAAAATGTCAATCAGTACAATTCCAACATCCAATGGATTGGTGCAAAAATGTCATTAACAATCAGAGAAGATCAATATTTATACCGATAAAACAATAGTTAAGGATCTAATTACAGTGTTGAATTTGTAACCTTTTAGAGTTAGTTTATTTAAAGGATCTGTAAGGTTGCCCGGATCTTACCTAAATTTACGTGCTCGGTAAACAACATTATCGTAAAAATTTTATGTTCTATCCCGTTTGTAATAAGTTGTAATAAGGTACAGCCAAACTTCCAAACCAAATATGTTCTATTCCGTTTGTAATAAGTTGTAATAAGGTACAGCCAAACTTCCAAACCAAATATTTGTATTTATGAAAGAACTTGGTTAATTTTTTAAGTAATTTATGGTAACGAAATGCTTGACTTGATAATTTACCAGTAATACATAGATTACATTCTTTGAAATAAAAAACGTTACTACAGACACGGACATAGCGAATGGGTTGGCACATATAAACACCGTAACATGGTGCCAAAGGAACATTACCGTCCATAAGAGGAAATTAAACAAAAGGGAACGAAAAATCATCCGTTTTTTTGTAAATTTTTGTGAAGAGTTTTCTGTGTAAAACTGAAATATATAAATCTAGGAAAGAACAGTTATTGTGTTTATTTTTTATCTACTTAAGGTAAATTTCTTTGGGTAAATTTCGGCAGTATTTAGATAATTTTTCATTATTTAACGAAAAAATATAATCAAGATAACGGTTAGTTTTGTTGTATTTATCCAATAAATGGAATTTAGACGGATTTTAATGTGCTTGGCCTTTAACTGTGATTTTTAACAGTACACTGTACAGGAACAAGTCTTATATTAAAGGGTGCAATTGGCTCCCATATGAATACCTACAAGCTGTTTATAGACTTTATTGCCGAAACGAACATAAATGTTGTCAATGACACTTTTGTGCATCTCTTCCAATGTGTATATCTAGCATATTTACATAAGAGAACAGGCTTTATATGAGTTGCAGCAGACGAATTTGCAATCAGATTTTTAGAACGACCATTTAATTGAATTGGAAAAAGTTTGTTTGCTAATCTGTTTTAATTCCTCTTGGTCTTGAACTATACAATTTAGCATAAGTATTATTGAAAAATAATTATACAGGTCAACTGAGTATATCGTTGCCAAAAGTTATAAGAGTTAAATTCATGAAATCAGATGTGAATATGCTACAGTTTCTCCTGGTTAATGTACATCGATTAGTCTTTGAAGCATGCGCATTGTTGTCAATACTTATTTTCTATACATGTAACTATGTTATTAGTTTAAGAGAAAACAATCATTCCTTCAAATATTATATCAGATAATTACGAGTAACTGTCTTTTGTGTACCAAAACAGACAATTTTCATCGAAATGCACTTGATAGTTTGAATCAAACTCATACACCCTTCGTTATATATATCTCGGACACTTGTATAGTATAGAGGCATAATATCTAACTCGAACATTTCTGGCTTCATTATCGCTACAAATGAATAAATAAATATTTGTAGTCCTACCCGTTTTAACACAAATGACATATTCTATCATTTTGAATTTGGAGCATCTCATGTTTGAAATAAAACTTCCATCATTAAAATAAAACTTTAACAAGACTTCAGTTGGACTCCATTTTAAATATAGAAAAGACTTTACCATTGTATGTATCATTTATTTGAGAAAACAAGTTTTTAGATAATTTAAACCTTTAAATGATGACTTGTTATATTTTTAATAACAATCTTGGCCGTTCCCGATAAACATAACGATTTTAACTTATGAAATCAATTTGAATTTTCGTTTTGTTTTAACATCAATTTATATATAAAATGTACAATGACAAGTCTTCGTAGAATTGAAAAAAAAAGAAAATTTGGTTTACTATGAATAATTGATTATGTTAATCTATAACCTTTAGTGAAAATAGACACTTTACTTGTCCGGATAAAAAAACGGAAACAAAGGAGTATATGAGGCACTCAAGCGTACTCACTTCAAATAACTATATTCTTTATATGATCATAGAATAGAAAATTCATACTACATTGTATTTATAGCCATATTGTCATTCCCTTGTATTTTAACAAAATTCATGTGATGTATGTGGGTGTTTTATAGATACAAAATTCGTGTGATGTATGTGGGTTTTATTGGTACATCTCAGAAGAATACATAACTATTTAACTTAATTTTTGACTCAATGAATCTTAAAGTTGAACAGTTATTTTTAAATCTTTTGTTGCATACGTATAAACGGAGATATATTTACTGATTTTTTAAAAACCATTAGAGAGAGGAGAAGAAAATAAGGTAAACTTAATAGAATTTAAGTTCACTTATACACATATATGTGTTAAAGTTATCTATAAAGTTATATTTTTGTGTGCAACAATCATATTAAAACTCATATGTATATTAACTCGCATGCTCGCATAATAACGAAATCAGAGATCTATATTTTAATTAGATTGTGTATGCATACAACAAAAGTTATTTGGAAAGAGACTAGCGTTGTTGAACTTTCGACTCCAATCATCGGCAGCAAAATTATCTAGACGAGCAAAACATGTTGCCATGTGTTTAAGGATAATTTGTTTAGCAATATGTATTGTATATGGTCCCTCTATGTGTCTTTTGTTTAATATTGTCGTTGGGTCGCCGTCTAATTGACTACCCATATCTCCTTGTATTTATACTTTATTTGCATATCATATAAAATTTGTAATGATACATGATTAATTATTCAAGACCTAGGTAGTGTTGATATACTAATTTATCTGAAGAGGACATTTATATTTTTATTAGGGTTAGCCGGGACAGTTTTGGTTGAATGAACTATAATTTACTTTACATGAAAAGAGATTGATAATATATTCTCTAAAACCAATATAAACAAAGGTACGGAGAAGAACATAAAATATTCGTACATTTAAAGACTATAAGATTCACACATGTCTTAAATTTATACAAGATATAATAAACCAAGCAAAAGAACAGACATGGAATCTGATGTTCAGTAGTTGTCGTTTGTTGATGTGGTTCATAAGTTTTTCTCGTTTCCCATTTTTTATATAGATTAGACCGTTGGTTTTCCCGTTTGAATGGTTTTACACTAGTAATTTTTGGGGCCCTTTGTAGCTTACTATTCGGTGTGAGCCAAGGCTCCGTGTTGACGACCGTACTTTGACCTATAAAGGTTTACTTCTATAAATTTTGACTTGGATGGAGAGTTGTCTCATTGGCACTCATACCATATCTTCTTATATCTATGGACAGTATATTACGCATCGCTAGAAAAATGCAAACATTGTGCCAACGTTGATTATTTGAATCAAATAGACAGGACATACGAAAAACAAATTAAAATTACAATGATTGAACAAATATATCCTCTAACCGAGCTCCTGTTGTCGAATTTCACTACCCTTCATCCCGATCGATATACCTTGAAGATCATATGGCTGTTGTATCAATTGTTAATTTGTTCTCGTACTGAATATGCATGAACTATTTGGCACTGGACGTTAAACAAGCAACAATTCATCAACCTATTTCTTACGTAGAATATATATATATATATATCATATCCTTATGGACCGGCCAAAATGATATCAAAGACAACGACCACTTCTATCGGAAGTGGTTTATATATCCTATTGAATATGCTGTAAACATTGTAAAAACTGTGTTTACCTATCATTTATATACATCTGTTGATATTTATATTTCGTTTCAACCTTTTAAATGTAAATATTTATTCATGAACTATTGTATAAGTAAACATTCATTAGACCGCAGGTATGATCATTCAAAAGGTTAATTGATGATCGTCATTTGCTTTACGGCCCGTGACAATTATTTCATACACATTCAGGACGAGAACAAATTATTAGTAGTAATAACAGAAATAGATAGATTCTGATAAAACGATTATTACTGATTGGTTATTCAATGTGCAGAAAGCGTGATACATTATTTACAGGAGGTTTCGGCTTTTTAAATGTTACCATTCCGACCGGACGTAGCTGCAAATTTGAACATGCTGCACAGCCATACGAACGCCTCACTTTAGCAAGGTTTTACTGAAGGACGGGAAGTACCCAAGGGATGGCCATATTTCTATATTCAGGTCTACCGGCCTGGGGTTATTCAAAAGTTAATAATTACATTACATGTAAATTTCATATGATTCTAGCATTCTCATTATTGGTAGTAACATGTTGATCGTGCATACATTGTGTTTGTATTAAGCGCTTCGATCCTCACTTCATCCAGAAATTCTGTTCAATCATTCGGTAAACGCTAATTTTACAATCCAATAAATGTACCAAATGATGCACTAAAATCTTAGATACCGTGATACATTGGTATAGATTCGCTCCAATTACCGATATTTATCAGACTTATGAATCTTTAGCTCATCTTTTCAAAAGTATCAGTGTAAGCTTTGTCACATTTGACGTTAGACGTCCGCTAAGAAATTATTCTCATCTAAAACTACTTGACCTACTAGAACAAACCTTAGCCCTAATCATCCTTAGAATATCTAGTTTTAAAATTCCACCTTCCAATCAACAAGCTGATCAACAACCTTAAATCACGATGTTACCAATTTTTGTTTTTTTTGTCGGATGTTGTCTTGTTAACTAGAATATATATAGTGAAACTTAAAATAGCTAAATAAACTGCAAGAAAAATCTCCAAGTAAAAAAGAGAAGGAAGATATTAAGGAGACATTCGCAACTCATAAGTAGAAGAAAAACTGACAACACCGTGGCAAAAAAAACGAAAAACGTCGAAACGATAAACAATTTCCAAAACAATACATATGTAAACAAAAGAATGAGCAACAGGTTCCCCACCAACAACTGGGGATGTTCTCATGTGCTTCGACAGGTTAAGTAGATCCTGCTCCTCTAGTGGCACCCTCCAAGTTCCTCATGGATAGTACAAATTTGATGAGAAGAGGCATTTGGTGTGATTATAATCGAGGAACAGAGGACTAGATTGTGATTACGACAATTGGAACATATCCGTGGTCATCTATTACACCGATATTCCATAACGGTAAAATAAACCTCGTGATCAAGTCATTGAAAATTTCGAAGGGCTGACTTCCTTCAACTTTACCACTTGGAATCCTTGGTTTAACAGCTTCTTTGTAAGCAGTTAAAGTAACCCACAAGCTCTTGAATATCGTATCAACTGGTAGATATATTCTCCATATGCAGGCGCTATTGGAATGTTGCTACATAGAAATGGAAAGTTCACGATTGGGAAGCTGAAATCATCCCTTTTGTCGCACAGTTTTATTCTTTACCGATCTTCATTTTCAATTTCTAGATGTAAGTAAAGATATGAGGCAGATTTAATTGTATCTGTAGAATCCATTATTGTAAGTTAGATGCGTTAAACATAGTCACCAAACTTTTATATTATTAAGCGAGCGGACATAATATTTATAGCTGAACGTAAATTTGAAGGATTATGATCATTCTTCCTATAAGCTCCTATATGAAGTCTGCCTCATATGAATAAAAGAACAAGTGGACAAGAAGGGGAGCACAGTTTGTTTCCATAGGAATAACGATTGTTTGTTGACAAAAAACGTCCTCCAAACGTATCAAATATGTTGTCAATAATATCAAGCATCTTAATAATATCATTTTCAGAGAAAAGTTTGTTTGAATCAACGTGTGCTTTTTTTTTTTACAAAGTACCTTTGATTCTTCCCTAAACCAAGATAGTTGTATCTACGTTGGCCATTAATTTTAATGAAACAAAGTTAAACTCGTTCTTTCAATTAGTCGTCTAGTTTAGAATGGGAAATGATATTACAAAAATTACAAGAGGAAAGAGATAGATTGTATGTACTCTTACTGATCTTTGGAAATGTTTTTATTATCTTCATCTGATTCACACCGTTTGTATAATCAAGAACAAAATGTTCGGCTAGTATAATATTAAACGTGAAAACTGAGAAAAAAAATCTTTGTTAGGTCGTTTAGTATAAGTTTATGTGAAGATGTTCTCATACTGCTTTGTTCATGATGTTGTTAGTCCTTCTTTGTATATGAAGCCTTTTGTCTTCTTGAGAATTATAGGATTATTTATGTCTTGTCCATAACAGAAAAGCAGCTTGTCAATAATGTTTTATATTTTGTAATTGTTGAGGAAGTGATGTATTACATATCACAAATTTACAACTATCATAATTATTTTCGTTGACAGACACCTGTGTTATCTTGGAATGACGATGAAGAGTACATTGGTATTTTTCATTATATCTTTAGTATCGGTTTCTTATGCAGGTATGTAAAGTAATAGTACAAGACTCCGAACTCAATCACATGTTTAGATTGTATTTTTTATTTTCATTTTACAGAACGTTATTCAAATTGTTTTGAGTTGTTTCTGATAAATTTCATGTCTGTTAAACTTTTACTAAAACTCCTTATCGATCGCGACTCTTGGATCCTTTGAATAGGATCTTGCCAATTTTAGGACAGTGTTTAAAATGTTAAAATACGTCTGTCTTCGGAATATTTTGAAATATTCGTAATGATATGTATCAAATCAAATGATGCACATCTACTACTTATTTATAAATAAATATTAAAAAAATAATAAGAAAAATGAAACAACTATCCGTCAAAGACCAAAAGAACGATGATGTTTACAGCTACAGGCAAAGTTGACCTTATACAATGTAGGTATATTTGGTTATTCTGTTTATGTCCTTTTTGGCCGTATAGCTCCTAACGTTGTAACGTATTTACGTATCGCTGGTTTTCAAATGTTTAGGTTTTAGCGTTATCAAGAGTAGCACTTCGGACGAACGAAACTTTATCAAGTGTTTATTTCGTTCACTATCATTGGGTCGATAACGCTCCTGGTGGACGGATAGTCCTGAGTGTAGCATCAGCTCAATAGTCAGAGCTTCGATGCTTACATGATTTATAACTTATTGTTATCTAACATTCCCCGTTCATAAATTATTAATAAATTTAGGTTTTAACTCCCTCCGGCAATGTTGATCTTTAATGTATTTGTTTATTCTGTTTAGGTCCTTTTTTCAGTCATATAGCTCCTAACGTTGCAGCGTATATAAACATCCCTGGCTTTCATATGTTTGAGCGTTCTTGATGAAGGTAAATCCAGAAACGTGTTTCGGACACACGAATATTTATGAAGTGTTTGATAACACATGGAAAAGTGGCATTCGTTGAACACAAAAATACCTATATACTTTTATACAGACTTTTTAAAACTCATGTATGTAAATTTAAAAACAAGAAGATCTGGTTTGATTGCCAATGAGAAAACTGCAAACTAAACACGTTTTCTTATTAAAAGTCAAACATGCACCGTACAGTGACCTACAGTTACTAACTTTTATGTCATTTGGTCACAGGTTGAAAGTTGTCTCATTGGCAATCATACCACATCGCGTTATTTTTATACTTTTGTTATGTTTTACATTCGTATAATGGTCGTGTATTAAACGTACTTTGAATTTGAATATGAACTCTTCAAAGACACCATTCTCACAATGTAGTATGTACGCCCTACTTGCGTTTGGTAAACATTAGACTCAGCAGTGGCGGATCCCAGATTTGAGGGGAGGGATGCAACCCTAAAAATGTTGCGGAGTGGAGCGAAGATAAATTTTCTCTGACGTTTTATATGTCAACAATTGGTATTTTTTCCCAATTTTAAGATGGCGCAGCGGGCTCAATGAATTTGTTCCGGAGTTTCATTAGACACAGTCTTCTGTAAACTTCGTTTAAGAATGTCTGCAATATTATACATGAACCAGTGTATATATTTAAGATTTTTACTATTGCACTAATATTTACTCACCCAGATTTGTCAATATAACGGAACTATTAACAACTGTAATACAAATGGTAGGTTTAGCTAGTTATAAAATCAGGACCACTGCGGAAAATGCCTTATCAAGTCAGAAACATGACAGTTCTTTTCCATTCGTTCCGTTGGTTGATAAAGTCTAACGTTTGATTTTGACCGTTTTATGGACTTCCCACTTTTTGAATTTACCATTTAATTCGGTATTTTTCGTTATACTTTTTTTACATTTACATGTTTCTTACAGAAAATCTATGTTGCTCTTACCCGTGTCAAAATGGTGGAGTTTGCCTTACAAAGGGATTCAATGATTATGAGTGTGATTGTACAAACACTGACTTTTATGGAAGATATTGTGAAGTTTGTAAGTAATGACTGACTAATTACCCTTTGATATGAATTTGGTAAAATATCAGTAATAAGAAAATATCAAACATTAAATATGCCACTGGACATTAGGCAAACAACATTAAAAATATAAACAAACATTCAATACAAAAGGGGCAATCAGCTTACCATAGTATTCCAAAGAGTGTCACTGAAAAAAACGCATAAGGGATACAAAAAAGACTTAATTATTCGTTGATATACTGGGAAGTATGGTAACAGTAGGACTGATAAACAAATAGAAACAATATAAATTTAATAGGTAGTTGGGAGTGGATAGATCTATGTTTTATCTTCATTTCTAATTTTAAACATGCAATGTAACATGTTAAATAAACAAAATTGTATAACAGAGTGCTTAATCAGTACATTAACGGAGAAAACCAAATGAGATATTTACTTAATTTTAGATAAGAAGCATGTCGCATGCATGTTAATTTAAATAGTCTTTTATCTCTCGACATAAACTTGTGAACTGGCATGTAGGTGTATCACTTTATTATGTCATTGTAGAAGTGGGCGCGCCATTGTCATGATTGTTACATAATTTAAAATGATGAAATATTAGTAAACATATATGATATACATATAGCAACACAAAGATACGAAAACTAAAAGAAATCTAGAGACCAATAATAGACAGGTGACTATATAACATATTAAGTTCAACATCGCCTCGAGTTCAAAAAGGTTGTAAATAAATTTAATAGAGACTATATCATAGATCTGGCATGAAAATGGAACCCATATGACACAAATGTTAAGATATGCCAACAGATCGACAAATACTGACGAGACCTTGTATTATCTTGGCTGACATTTGACCTTTATGTACCTCAAGGTCAAATTATTCATTTTCGAATATATACATTCATAGATGTATCCGCACCAAAAGTTGCGATCTTAAGACAACAGATATGTCTTTCATCTTAGAACGTTATCTTATTATGATATTTGTCATGTTGATGTATCATCCTACGATGATGTAATTGAACTCATCATAAATACCAGGCTTAAAATAGTGTACGCCAGACGCGCGTTTCCTCTATAAAAGAATCATCAGTGACGCTCGAATCAAAATCGGTTAGAAAGGCCAAATAAAGTACGAAGTTGAAGAGCATTGAGGACCCGAAATTCAGAAAGGTTTTGCCAAATACAGCTAAGATATGATCGTATCAATTATAATCCATGTTAACACAGAAGTGTGCTGATTACTTGGCTAGCTGGTGAAACACTCGTATTGAGTTTTATCTGGATTTGCATTTGACCTCGGATCAAATTAGTTACCTTTTTACATGCATATGTATCTGGGTAGAACTTTGTTATTTTTTCACAGTTACTTATTTTTAGAAACTGAATAGAGCACTAGACGACGATATGTTGTGCACTATCTTCACTGACAAATAAGTTGGACGTCTGACAAGTATTTTCATAAAGATTTTAAACGTATCTTTGACACGTCTCAAGATATAATATTTGGCATGGTACATGTATGGAAAATACTGCAAGATCTAATTGTAATTATTTAAAAAATGTGTGTGTCCGCCGCAACTTAAAAATTGTTTGACTTAGATATCTAACATGCGAGTGTATCACCATTTCATCAGAATGTTGCATAGGAAAAAATGATAAACTGATGACCTGTGACATATGTCTTCAAATATATTTTTTAACAAGTAAACGTGATCGGATCAATTCTTGTTGCTAGACACGAACATACACATCACACATTAAACTCAAAAGGGGATACTCGAATTTTAATTGACTCAAGGCAAATTACAGTTATTATAACATTAATATATTTGAAAATAGAAATTGTAAATTTCATTGATTGCATCAAACATAAAACCCAGAGCAATAAGAATCTCATGAAAGGAAGTTTTACCATCACCAATTGGTTTATCTATACAATGTGTCTGTGTCTAAACTAACTAATGACATTTTTACCACGTCTTACAGGGGGCGCTTATTCGCTCCGCTCGAAGAAAATTTAAGTTTGCGTCCCCCTAACCTAATCCTGGATCCGCCCCTGTCTAAGATTGTGGTTTAACATCTATGTCGTCTGTCTGCTAAGTACCGAACGTAACCTATTCCTGAATATGACTGTTATACCGAGTGTGAATTTGCATTGCTATACGACGTGTCTCGGTATTTTGTACATCCAACATTCATGTGTTTATTTTTTATGTTTCTGTTATGGTTTCTGTAGGATAATGTGTTATGTCTTATCGTTTGTAGTCCAAATTGAAATAAAATTGCCTTTAAATACCATCATTGTCATGAAAATTGTTTGGACTGGTATTGTGAAAATAAGTGTATAAAGTTCGAGATTGCATGTTCGTTACGTAAGTGCGTCACTGTTTTTGATGTCCTGTGGTGTCTGTCGTTTATGGAAGGTGTTCGTTGTTGTTCTGCGGTTTGCATGTTTTGTCGACTTTTATATTATTTGTTTGTGCGTTTCTCTGTGATGAGTGTTCTTGTGTGTGTTTGTGCTGTACGTCTGTCACGTAGTGGTGTCATTTTAGCGATATTTTTTAACATTGTCATAAAAGCGGGAGGTTAGGCTAGCCATAAAACCAGGTTCAACCCACCACTTTTTCTTTAAATTCCTGTATCAAGTCAGGGATGTGGCAGTTGTTATCAAATAGTTCGTTTCTATGTATGTTGGCGTTTGTTTTTGTTGCACTTCAGTGTTCCTATTGTTCCTTTTTTTCCTCTTATAGTTGATGTGTTTCCCTCGTTTTCAGTTTGTAACCCGGATTTGTTTTCTCTCAATCGATTTATGACTTTTGAACACCGGTATACTACTGTTGCCTTTATTTATGATTTACAGCATTTGTAGAAGTATGCACAATCCAGAATACTTTTGTATATTTGTTTTATTACAGAAGTGTTTGTTATTGAAATTGACCGATGTTCAAAACTAGACACCAATGTTGAAAATTTTTAAACCAAAAGATAAATAAAAAATATAAGTAAGAGGTCTGAGGTTCAATTTTATTTTCATTGAAAACAATGCTTTACTCATAACATGTATGTAGTTTTTTTACACAGGAGATACATTTTTATGGGATCATATTCCCTGTCAGTGTTTAATATCCCTTAAGCAGTCAAACGAAGGATATATTGGGCACTGACATGGAATATGAGTCTATATCCCTGTGAAGCCCAAATAACAATTATATTATACTGGAATGTCCTGATTTCAACATTTATTACTATCGATATTCGTTTTTCTTCACAGGTGATACTGGTTAAAATACCCGGCAAAGTACCCAATCAAATTGTAGTATTAGCCAGGATATTTCACTCCAATATACTATAAGCTGATAAAACATAATATATTTACTCGTTTTTGTCTAAATATATTAAGGAACAGCATCGTGGTTACTAAGCAAATTGTATACGCGGGAGCACAAAATGAAATGACCAGCGCACAGTACTCGCTCTTCCTCTTTGTAAATACACTTGAAGCTTTACTCTACAATTTCATTTCTGAGTACAGGCAACCGCATATAATTTTGTTAACTGATTTGTAGTTTAATATGTTACCACTAGCCATGTGACTCCTGGAATTCAGTATCAAAGTTACTAAAACATTGAGGTTCATTGTATAATATAACAGGACATTTGTCAGATACAGTTCCGTAACTTGTCTCAAGAATCCTTTCTCTATTTAGTTTTGTTTGTTTATCTTTTTTTCTTACTCTTCTTAATTGTTGTTAGATATACAGCAATTTTTTGAAATTTATTATTATGCTTAAGGAGTCCCATAACAAGACTGTAAGTGCATATTTGTAATATATGTATCTTCATTTTTGTTGCAGGGTAGTTACTTAATGTAAAAGTATTGATCAAAATATTGTATTGATCATTACTATGTTTAAGTGTCCAAAAAGGGTTTTAAATTTGGTTTTGCGGGGTTTCCATTTTGGTGAAAAAAATGTAAAACTTTTAAAGGGGATTTCACGGGTTAATGTCTTCGTATTGTCATGTGAATTCCACTCAGTTGGTTAACGTTTACACCAGAATTGTGAAAAGACAACATTGGCTTTTGCAGTTTATCATTCTTTCAAATGGAATAGGTAGATGACGGTTTAAGGTGTTCAGTTGGTTTTAAGTTAGTCCGATATTTCGGACTACTGTTGGGTGGGAGCTGTCCAATCGGTAGTCTCAGATGAGTAATTAACGTTCTTAGTAACATTACTATTTTCAATTGCTACTTTTAGTTTAAGATGAATTTAAAAACTTAAATGATAAATCTTACTTAGTTCACCATTTATTTCATATCAATGATGTAGGGAAAATAATGTATGTTTTCAAAAACGAAGTGAAACAGGAACATTAGGGCTAATGGATACCACGAGCATGGTTAGCAAGGACTGTTATTTCTTCAGGGTGAAGCGATATCTGTGTGTTGTTAGATTTAAACTCTTATTTTCAGCTACCTTTTCAAAAAGAATAAAGTTATGGTTGAAGCCCTCGCCGTCAACATTACACAATCTGTTGGTAGGGAATAAATGGTTCTGGAATATTGTCAATAGTATACCTTTCATGAGGAAGTTCATCATGAAGAGAGTTTATACCAGTAAGTTAATTATATAAATGGTTGTGGAATTTCATCAATAGTATACATTTATTAATGAACTGTATCAAGAAGACAGTTTACACCAAAATGTTTATTACCAGCCTTATAATTTGATTCAGACTAGGTCTATGATAATCTATATTTATCTTTTCTATCTACCGATAACTTCTACAGAAACACATGTAAGAACATTTGTTCCAAATATCAATGTTTTATTAAAGGCAAATTTGTATCTTTGATTTTATATTTGAATCAAATGATTCTTTAGGTTTCCAGTAACAAATCATGGACTTTATGATATCTATATAAGGGTCGTCTTGTTTATTGTAATTCTCTTAAACCGCTTATTACATTCTACGACACTATAGAGACTCTTCAGAACCTAACTAACATTGTGCAAATTTGCATTTCAGTAAGAGCAGACATAATTGATAGTCCTCCTACATATGACAACGAACATTCGTACATCACCCTTGATGCAAATTACAACCTATCATTTTTTACAAGGACATTACCACCAGTCCCCATTGAGTGCCCAACCCCAATGGGCGTGGCAGGAAAGACAAAATTACCAGATATTGATGAACTGGTTCAAAAATTATTTGTCCGGGAGAAGTTTAAGCCAGAACCAAGAGGAACAAGTGCTTTGTTTAGCTTCTTTGCTCAACACTTCACGCATCAGTTTTTTAAAACCGATATCAAACGTGGACCACAGTACCAATGGGGAGGTCATGGGGTAATTATAGTTTTTAAGTTTGCATTACAATTTATTATTACTTGCAGATGCCTCTGTTTTTATTATTTCTTTCACACCCTCTTATCAATATCACAAGTGACAACTGTTTTGAAGATGGACAAAAGGGATACATGTATGAATTAAAAATCTTTTTTTATTTTTGTAGAGTTTTCTATTTCAACCAAACCATTTTTTTCCAAGTCGAAGCAGAATATGTTTTGCTAATGCTCAGATAGTTAGAGTTGTGTGTATTTGTATGAAATCAGTAGCAGTAAATAGATAATGGTTTAAATACATTCACATGCATTATGTATATTTATTAAAGTAGCAATGCTTCATTTTTGATTGACAACATATATGTTACGTTTGGAGGACGTGTTTTTTAAACTAACATCGGTATTCCCATGGGAATCAACTGTGCCCCACTTCTTGCCGACTTGTTCCTTTATTCATATGAGGCAGACTTCATACAGGCGCTTCTCAGGAAGAATGAAAAGCAGTTTGCATTAACATTCAACTTCATGTCGCTATATAGATGGTGTCATCTCACTAATTAATTCACAGTTTGGCACATATCACCAAGGATATTTTCCAATTGTCGATAGCACAATCTCGTCCTCTTTTTCATGATTATGACATCACCGAAATGTGTATTTGCTTTAAGCAACATGGCGGATGCCACTGGTGGAGCAGAATCTGTTTACCTCGAGATAAGCCCCAGTTTCTGGTGGGGTCCGTTTTGCTCAGTCTTTATTGTAGCTCATCGGGGCCCGAAGGGCCCCATGTTAGCTTATGCCATCACTTGGCGTCTGTCGTCGTCATCGTCTGTCGTCGTAAACTATTTCAAAAATCTTCTCCTCTGAAACTACTGGGCCAAATACCTTCAAACTTTAACTAAATGTTCCTTAGGGTATCTAGTTTATAAATTGTATCCGAAGTTTTGATCCATCGACAAACATGGCCGCCATGGCTAAAAATAGAACATAGGGGTCAAATGCAGTTTTTGGCTTATATCTCAAAAACTAAAGCTTTTAGAGCAAATGTGACATGGGGTAAAATTGTTCAATTGATCAAGATCTATCAGCTCTGAAATTTTCAGACGAATCGAACAACTCATTGTTGGGTTGCTGCCACCGAATTGGTAGTTATAACAAAATTTTGCAGTTTTTTGTTATTATTTTGAATATTATTATAGATATATATAAACTGTAAGCAGCAATAATGTTCAGCAAAGTAAGATCTACAAAAAAGTTAATATGACCATAATTGTCAATTGACCCCTTAAGGAGTTATTGTCCTTTAAAGACAATTTTACACAATTTTTTTATCAAGTTTGCTAACATTTAAAAAAACTTCTCCTCTGAAACTACTGGGCCAATTACCTTCTAACTTTAACTAAATTTTCCTTAGGGTATCTTGTTTATAAAGTTTATCCGAAGTTTGTATCCATCGACAAACATGGCCGCCATGGCTAAAAATAGAACATAAGGGTCAAATGCAGTTTTTGGCTTATATCTCAAAAACTAAATCTTTTAGAGCAAATGTGACAGGGGTTAAATTGTTTAATTGGTCAAGATCTATCTGCCCTGAAATTTTCAGACGAATCGAACAACCCATTGTTGGGTTGATGCCACCGAATTGGTAGTTTTAACAAAATTTTGCAGTTTTTTTGTTATTATTTTGAATATTATTATAGATATATATAAACTGTAAGCAGCAATAATGTTCAACAAAGTAAGATCTACAAAAAAAATAACATGACCAAAATTTTCAATTGACCCCTTAAGGAGTTATTGCCTTTTAAAGACAATTTTACACAATTTGTTCATCAAGTTTGCTAACATTTAAAAATCTTCTCCTCTGAAATACAGGTGAGCGATTCAGGCTCTTGAGAGACTCTTGTTTTCTATGTAGTGTTTGTCTTTTCCTCTTCTTTCTCGTTTTGATGGTATTGACAGTTTCTCGTCGACTTTATATGAGGGTTGAAATTCCATTTGAACTTTTCCGCCTCTTTCGTATAACACATGGAATTTGTAATTTGTTTGGTCAAAAAGTTTCTTTGAAACTTTGTCTGCTTTACAGGTTGATATGACACATGTGTACGGCAAAGACAAACACGATGAACATCTACTCAGATCTTTTAAAGATGGAAAATTAAAATTCCAAGTACGTATATCTATTGATATCACTATTATGAAAATGAAGATATCAAATTCATAAAAATGAAGATATCAAATTCATAAAAATAAAGATATCTTAATAAAAAAAATTACGATATCTTATTTGTATAAATTAATATATCAAATTCATAAAAAAGAAGATATCAAATTCATAAAAATAAAGATATCTTAATAAAAAAAATGAAGATATCTTATTTGTATAAATTAAGATATCTTTATCATAAAATGCAGATACATTAATCATAAAAATGAAAGATATCTTATTCATAAAAAGGAGATACCTTATTCATAAAAATGAAGATATCAAATTCATTAAAATGAAAATGTCTTATAACTTAAATGAAAATATTAAATTCATAAATATGAAGATATCTTATATATAGAAATGAAAATATCTTATTAATAGAAATGAAGATAAAAAATTCAAAAAAAATGAAGATATCAAATTCATAGAAATGAAGATATCTTATTAATTAAATTGAAGATATCAAATTCATAAAAATTAAGATATCAAATTCGTAAAAATTAAGATATCAAATTCATAAAAATTAAGATATCAAATTCGTAAAAATTAAGATATCAAATTTCATTAAAATGAAGATATGAAATTCACAAAAAGGATGGAAAGAATCAATATAATTCATATTCAACGGTTATAAATGTGATATGCTAGGATGTTTAGTCATTCTGATATTAAATCCAATTTTTTTTTTTAAATCAGTTATTACTCATTTATAGATTTCTTGATTAAAAGAGATCTGTTTAAAAGGATATACAATTTGTAAAAAAAAAATTTCAAACATTGTAAGATTAATCAAATTATGTCATTATTTTTATTCGTTTTGTATTTACTGGGGATGGATAAAAAATTACTTACACTTATACCTACCCAAATAAAATTCATAATTTTAAAAATTTAACAAAATTATGAAATTTAAAAAAAAAACCAAAACGATAAAACAGCTGCATAAAGAACTTGTGCCTTTCATTTAGTACAATTAAAGTGTTTTTATTTGTTAAAGATTATCATGTAAATACCGAAATCGCCAAACTTGTTCTGAATTGCAGACTATAAATAATGAAGACTGGCCACCATTAAATAAGGATGTCGGGGTGGAAATGAAATACATCATGCCAGTCAAAGAAGACAGCAACTTTGCCCTTGGTCACTCATTTTTTGGTAATCTTCCTGGACTTTTTATGTATGCTACAATTTGGATGAGAGAACATAATCGTGTGTGTGATGTTATGAAGAAGGAACATCCAGATTGGGAAGATGAGAGACTCTTTCAGACAGGAAAAATGATATTATTGGGTAAGAAAGTACTATGATTAGAACATTTCTTCATGTTAACTTATTTTCACAGGTCTGATAGTCATAGAATAGTTGCATGTCTCAATTTTTTGGGGCAGTGTTATAATTATATGATATGAAACCTGTTTGTCTGACAACATGCTAACCAGGATCGTCATGAAATGTGACTTTAAGAAGTAATAAGAAAAATGTTAATTGTCAGGAATATTACTTGGTCTTGGATACAAAAAGTATACTTTTTTCTATACATGATAATTATCTTATTTTTTTTATTATCTATATTCTACTAAAAATACAAAAACAAAAATGTTTGGGCCAATGCGGATTTTTAAGTTATTATTTTATAAATGATGTTATACAGGTGGTTGCAGACTGACCAAAAGTATAAGAAAGGGTTTAACATCAAGAATTCGTTATTAGGAAACACAAGACAGAACAAATATAAAAGGATGAAATAAATTCTATGAGAAAAATATATCTCGTGACACTGGTTGTTCAATGCTGTGAAAAAGGAAGCAGGATAACAAGGGGGCAAAAAAATATACGTCGAGGGAAGAAAATAAATCGTGACCAAAAATAAAAGACGAAAACACAAACATTAATTCACAAAACACTGCACAAAAACTAACGATTGAGCAACACGTATGCTAACAAAAACCTTGGAGAATTCATGTGCTCCGGAAATGTCAACCTGCTCTTCTAATGTCGCTCGTCGCATTCCATGATAAATCATAAATGCACACAGCGCATGGGGTTATGGTTAAAAAAATGAAACATATACCCTTGGTGACACACATATTTCTTTACGGCCTACCAAGTCACGATGGTGTCCTTAAAACTTTTGAAATCAACGTTTACCTTTAGCAGCGTGTCCACTATCACGTTAATCCTGATAGATAACACATTTAAAGGCTTGTAAAAAATGTATCAACAGACATTTGGACCCATATGAAAGACAAGTGATGTTTAAATGTTTCTCGCAAATATAGAAGTTTGCTGAAGCAAGGTATGTACCACCTTTGATAATTATTTAGTATGACGATAAATTTTCACTTATGTACTCGTACTATGAACAACAAATTTATTTCGTAAAAAATGTTTCTGTACTAACAACAAAATTATAATATTTAAATTTACCTGCGTACGTTACTTTATTTTAACGCCATTTTGTCCTAGGTTAAAGTTGTCTTTTTGACATGGATACATATTTTTTATTTATATTGGTCATAGATCAAACTTATTTTTTCAGTGTATATTTACTTGTATTGTGTATGTTTTTTGATGGAGTTAAGCCATTTCAATTGATATTTTATTGTGTGTCATTTTATGTTGTAATGTTACACTACTGTTTCAGGTTATGGTGAAGGTTGGCGCCTGTTAAAACTTTTAAACCCGCAGCATTTTTATGCACCCGTCCTAAGTCAGGAGCCTTTTGATCAGTTGTTGTCGTTTCTTGGTGTGGTTTATAAGTGTTTCTCGTTTCTCGTTTTTTATATAGATTAAACCGTTGGTTTTCCTATTTGAATTGTTTCACACTAGTCATTTTGGGGCCCTTTATACTTGCTGTTCGGTGTGAGCCAAGGCTCCATGTTGAAGGCCGTACTTTGACCTATAATTGTTTACTTTTTACACATTGTGACTTGGATGGATAGTTGTCTCATTGGCACTCATACCACATCTTCTTATATATATACATATATAATATATTTTTGTTTTATTTATAGGGGCGACAATCAGAATAGTGGTTGAGGAATATATACAACAGTTGAGTAATTACAACTTCAAACTTCTGTTCGATCCTACCTTGTTATTTGGCGAACCGTTTCAGTACCAGAACCGTGTTGCATTGGAATTTAATCATTTGTATCATTGGCATCCATTGATGCCAGATGAATTTAATATTGGAGGGACAAATTATACTATAAAGGACTTTTTGGTCAATCCAAGGATTGTTATAAAACATGGAATGGCTACCTTTGTGGACTCATTGTCGAAACAAAATGCTGGATCTGTAAGTATGATTTTATCATAAATACGTATCATGTGCACGGATAAAAGTATCAAACACGTGCCTTTCGCCGAAACAGGAACCATACTTGTTTCTCTACAGTCACTAGGTTTTTACCGTTCATGGTGGTAACATTCTATCCGTAACCAGTGTTTCGACACAGTCGTGATTTAAATGATACAGTTTGTCTGATCATATAGCTCTTAACATTTCTACATACTTATACATCCATGCAGGCTCTCAACTGTTTAAGAAAATTAGTTTAATCGTTCATCCAGGTAAATCCAGAAAGTATCATTTAATGCACGAGAGGACGATACACGGCCACCAATCACAAATGAATAAAACAATTTTTTTTAACAAGTAAAAGGATTTTTTTGGCAAAGTATGTATTGCAGAAATGCTTTACGTGTGTATTCCGTTTTCACGTCCCTTCAAAAGATATATATTGTGTTATTTCCTTATTAATCGTACGGACACTACTGTTTTTATACTGTTTAAGATACAATATTTTGTAACACGGATTTCTCATTCATTAAACATTAATCAAAAACAATAGTAAAGACATGTGTATTCATCTTTTGACGAAATCAGTTGAAAATGGTCTTGCTAAATGGTTGCTTGAATTAAAAGTACAGTTCATTATATTTTTATTGTAGATCACAGTGAAGAATCATGGGAAATACACATTGAATGTTGTAAAGGAATTAATGAAACATGGCCGCACATTACGTCTACAATCTTTTAATAATTATAGAAAACGTTTTAATTTACCACCGCATAAATCATTTCAAGAATTAACAGGTCAGTTCAAAAGTTTATATCTTTTATTTTTATTATTTGTGTCTCTTAATTGTTAGGTTACTCATTATAATACTAAACATTAAGTTAAGTTACAGTTATTTTTTCTTTCAACTATTATAAGAAGTATCAACCAATAATAAAAACTGACCGCCACGAAATAGCACAATAGTGCTGAAAGTGGCATTAAACACCAAGCAATCAATCAATTAAACGAAATATCGACCCATAGAATAAGTATTACCCATTTACATATATTGACGTATATCCACATATCTTTTTTTTTATACACATACACCTAACTTTTGACAAAATTTGAGAGGCTTAGGTCGTGGGTATTACTTTTTTTTAAATATCTCTACTCGCCCTATTTTGTCTAAAATATCATCAAAAGTTATTTAAAATCAAACAAAAGACAATGGCCTTAATCATCTATGTCCAGTTTTTAACTCGTTCAGCAGATTAATAAAGAAGAAGGTATATTGAAAATAGGTTATCTGAAAAACACTGGACTCTTCAATATCGTAATCTGTACAAAGGACATAGTAAAACAGAGGTAAATAATATCGTATCAATAAATGTTTGAAATTGCTGAAAGCAACATAAAAAACTTGTACAATGCCGAAAGTAAATGTGGAACAGAATTCAATATAGAACAGAAAATAATTGAAAGATTCAAATCGTGTATCAAAAACTTTTTTTACAATTAATAATATGTAAAAAAGGATACAAGACGACATAATTTTACACCACCAGTTTAAGTTGACCCTTCTCAATAAGTAAATAAAGCTAGTCTGCTAAGTATAAAAAGAAAAATTTGAGGGACAAGTACCTCACTTATAAATGAAAGTAGATGTGTGGTACATACGTCAATGAGACAGCACCCTAACCAAAATATATTCAGATTGCATGCTATAAAAATAATTAAACCATTAAAAATACATATGAAAACAATGAAAATATTAAGTTCATTGAAATTAGATAAATTAAACTGTAGGTATTGATTTCTATTCATAGGTAATAAAAAGTTAGCCAAAGTATTAGAAAACTTTTATGGAGATATCGATGCTGTTGAGTTTTATGTTGGACTCATAACTGAGAAACGTCGACCCAAAGCTGTATTTGGCGAAACAATAGTTGAAATGGGCGCACCATATTCTCTTAAGGGACTCATGGCCAATCCGATATGTAGTCCTAAGTATTGGAAACCTTCCACTTTCGGAGGAGATGTAGGATGGGAAATAGTTAATACAGCAACGTTACAGAAACTGTTTTGTCAAAATTTGAAAGAAGATTGTCCAGTGGTGTCATTTAAAGTTCCTGATTTTGTAGAACAAGAAAAACATCTCGATGATTGTGAAGGCGACTGCCAACAACATGGAGGTGAATTGTGATACTCATATCATTGTGTGTTTTTATGTTCAACTATGTTTGTATATTTGAATGCATAACGTGTCATTTATTTGCGATTTGAGCAGAGTTCCAAATAACTGCATATAAGCATCAACACTTTATCAGAGTTTCATTGCTTAAATTATTTTGTATATTGTGAATTCGTTTAATTTTCTTCCTGGGGATTTTTTATTTTATTTTAAGAATTGAGTCCCTATTGTTTCTACTATCAAAAGAGAATTTTTCACAAGTATATACTGTCATACAAGAATTCCAGAATTCAAGCTTAGATATTTTGATGGCAAAAATAATGAAGGGTACACAAATTTGTCATGTGGATTACTTTAAAAGGTTCATTGACTACCTGTAAAGATTTAACATTGAAAATTATATATTTGATTTATACAAATAAGAGTTATAATCTGAATTGGAAATAATTGATGTAATTGACACAAATTAGATATTTAATCTGGAATATAACCATGTATGGATTATAAATAGATAAAGAACGTGTGGTAATTACTAAACTGAGTATTACGAAGCATGTTATAAAAGTATTTGTTAATTAAGCGGAACCCAGTAACAGTAGATTAACATGTTTTTTGTATTACTGTATGACTAAATTGTATATCGGTACCAGTCTCAAGTTTTGGACTGTTTTATTATGTTTTGTGTCTCTATGAATATCAAGTCTTCTCGAATGAGTTTGAGCCTGCGTGTCTTTCCTTAAAAGTTCACATTCAAACATTATATACATTGGCCATCTCATTCTATATTCTTTACCTTTCGATGAACAATATAAAATCGGGGCAGAAAGTCCACATTGCTTATGGTGTTTTTGAAGTCAATTCCATCTCAACATCGCCACCAGATTTAATACATTCCTATATTATCACATTTCTATAAACTATTTGATTGGCCTGTATGTAATAACTAAACCGTCTAGCAGTATGGTATATAGGAGGTAGGAACTTAATTGTAAATAAAAAAATGTATAAATATAGTGGCGTGTTTCAATATATGTATATATATAATTTTATTTTATATCGGTATAGTTTTGTAAATTTTCGTTAGACATTGTTCCATTTGTGTTACATTATCTATACATATATTTTTATTTATTTTGATGCATAATAAAGTTTAAAGAACCCCAAATGATATATTATCATTAGTTGACAATATGATGAATTAAAAACACAATATACTTTATTGAATTTTAACAATGATAACAGTCAAATTACTTATGTTCTACCTTTTCATGAGGATAAATAGTGTTTCGATGTTTTGATTGTTCTTTGTGTAACGTGTAGTGGCAAATATTTCATGTGGATATATATAACACCCAACGAAACACACACAAAAAACAACGTAAAACAAAACAAAAGACAACGAGATGTCAACATACGGTCATACATATTAAGGACATTAACAAATTAAACAATAAATCAAATAGGTAGTTACCGCATGTTAGTGGATAGACCGGGTGAATGCGGAAATATATACAGCGACTGGAAAAGGAGAGTGTGTTGGATAAAGTAGCCAAAATATTGCCGACAGCACAGTCAAATAGTTGCCGCGGAAAGGGTTCTAAACATTGTGGAGTGACTTCCTCCTGAACGGGTATTTGAAATTGGTTATTCATGATTCTGCCATAACACACACTTTTGAATTTCAAACGGGGGAAAATACACCATCTTAAATAGGTCGGACTATCTTCCCAGTATTTACATAATATGACATTCCTTACAACCAGTGAAGCATATCGAGTTATCCAAAATTTCGTATTCTAACTGAAATATACCACATAATCTATTGTAGGATTTTTCTCCGTTCTCCTCTTTCAGTTCAAAAAACTTGACCTATGTCAGAATCATTCATTTGCATTTCATGTATAGATTTTGGTGACAAATCAATTATCGGTTTCCTGTGACCGCTTGCTTTGCTAGGCGCATTACGCTTTGGTCATTGTCTATTTTGAAAATCCTCCGAATTAAAGTCCTTCGTAACATTTCACCAATAGCACGGATAATTTGTGAATTTTGAACTTTCGCTGTTGATCATTAAATCGTGTTATCACTATTGCCATTGCAGTTTGTAATCCGATCATTCATATCTTGAATTGTTATACACATAATACCACGATATATTGCACTTCTTACAAAATTCTTTATTATCCACAACTATTCTAGGAAGTGTATCAACATTTCCAACTGTACGACAAAAGAGATAATTTCAGCCAACCAATTGTGAACTTTCCATTTCTATGTAGCAACATTCCAGCAGCGCCTGAATATGTAGTGTATATCTCCTAGTTGATCCTATATTCCAGAGCTTGCATTTCCTATCATGATTTCCTTGACAGAGGGTTGCTGCTTATAAGGAAGCAATTAAACAAGAGTTTCAAGCGGGGAAATTTAAATCATCCCTTCGAACATTTACAGACGCCATCACGAGTTGGTTGATCGTTGTGGAATATATGTTTCACAGATGACGCAGATATGTTCCAATATAGTAACCACAATCCCGTACTCTTTTCCTCGAATGTAACCAACCGAAGTATACTTATCACCGGTGTTGTACTTACATGAGAAACACGATGGGTGTCACATGAGGAGCAGGATCTGTCTACCCTTCCACCTGAGATCTTGCCCGGTTTTTTGGTAGGGTTCATATTATTCAGTCTTTAGTTTTCTATGTTTTGTTTTGAATACTGTTTCTCTTTTGATCGTTTTTCGGGGTTTTTTTTTGCCATGGCACCGACAGTTTGTTCTCGACTTATGAGTTTATCACTTTGAGCTACATTATCTTGCCTGCTATTCATCTGTAAAACTTCACTGCCTGAAAATTCTGCTTCCGGTTAAGTTTTCTCATTCTTGTTCTGATTTAGATTTTCCAAGCAGGTTGGCTGTCTTGGTATAAAATTCAGTAAAAGACAATCTGATGGACAGCAACATTTCTTATTAATTCAAAGTCGCTGGACTATGAACTAGTGAGTAGGGCCTCTAAATGTTAACCAAATTAAGGGCATACGATACAGTAGAGATCCCTCGTTGATTTTTTCTTGAAATTTTGGTAGAAGGTCAATTTCGATGTGTGCTTTTGAAATATGTAAAGAAAAATATACCTTTATGACTTACTTTTTGAGATAATTTGGTTCGAAATTTGCATATCTGAAGGTAAAACCCTGAAATTTCATAAATAAGGACTTTTAAGGAAAGTACCAATACTTTTGACCGAACAGTCATAATTTAACCGGTTTTTTTGTAAAATGTTCCCTTGATCCATGGCATCAGCATGCTGTAACAAGTTAACGGTTGAAATAAATAATTATATCCTAAATTCTTTTAATACAAGTGAAATAAAGAAGTTGAAAATATTTTTGCGTCTACACAGAAGTGCAGAAAAAATCAATCGTTGATTTTTTCTTAAAATTTTGGCGGTGCGTTCTTGAAACAGAATTTGATCGATTGCAAAAGAAAAAACTGGGGGTCCATGTGCTTGTTTTTTCAATAAAAGCAATAAACCTTAATTTTTATTGGCAAACGGGACGTTTGCCAATAAGGCGCAACACTAAATTGGAATAAGTTTTATTCTCAACAACGTCGTGAAATCTTTCCCGCCGTTCACTACTACGTTGTCAATTTCAGTGGTAGAGCCAAGGTGTTTTTTTTAACCTCCTTTCTGCCATAGGGCCGATTTGGCCGATGCAGAAACAGTACCTTTGACTGCCAAGGATCGGCCCAAAGCCGATGTTGTTTTCCGCTGTGACGTTGTTCCTTGACGTCATAGAGAATTTGCAGCGCCCAGCAAAGCCGGCGTGGAAAGAAAAGTTTGTCGTCAAGTACTTTTAGTAAAAATTTGTTATTCGAACACACCTACTCTGTTTTTATGACTCATTAGAAAGGTATTTCACTTGACCCATATATTTCACCTTTTAGTACAGTAATGTTTTTATATAGACAATAATAGTGCATTGACTTGACATATCAACGATATAAGGATGAGGCTTAGAAACAGGGAAATGCGAGGCTCTGCCGAGCTTTTTCCCCGTTTCGGGCCGAATCCTTATATCGTTGATATGTCAAGTCAATGCACTATTATTGTCTTTATACTGCAATCTAAAAAAAAACATTTTCATTTGTTGTTTAATGTGTTAATGTTATTATTTGATTTAAATATTGGGAAACTTCCCCCTTTTATAAAAAGGCCTCATATCATGCAGGCGGGGAAATATACATAACAATGAAATGTACATTGCCTGTTGAAACCCGCAGTCGATGGTGAACGAATTTGTTTGAGAATGAACTAAAATATCAACAATAAGCATAAAACCTAATGATTTATAGTTTGCAAACCAAAAGTATTAACAAGTGAAATATGTTTTTTTTCTAAAAATTGCAAAAGAAATAAGTTTGAGTCGTTGCATACATTGGAAACAAGAACAGGTTGAATAGGTCGTATGAATAATAAATTATAATTTCGGCAATTTCTATTTAAATATTCATGAGGAAAAGTGATATCAGGTCAGTGACTGTATATGACATAGAAATATACGGTCAACGCATTTTGACTGCTCAAATAGAACGAGTGCAGTATAAATTATTTTATCAACCTACAGCCTAAATATATAAATTTGAGAGCGATAAATCAACAAAGCAGACAGCTGTGTGGTGTCATCAAAACGAGCAATCCTATGCAGGTACCATGCACAATAGCGTGACGTTATCAATTGTTGTAAAGGTTGCCATGGCGCTGTTTGAAAACGTACGACGCCGGGCCGATTCTTGGCAGTCAAAGGTAAACAGTTGGAAAGCAAGTCCTTGGAAACGTCCGTTGTCGTCAAGCTCTATCAGCAACAATAGCAGGGGGAATTAATTAGATGGCGCTACAGTCGTCCGTGACGTCAAATAGTCCGCCAAATCAATCGGGTAAAAGATTGACGTTTAAAGTATTTATTTCAACTTGTCATGCTTTTATTATAATTGAATTTAAAAATTTGTAGGTTTTGCGACCAATATAGATTCAATACGTCATACAAACATTATCAAAAATAGCTTGTTATTGCTATTTCTTTATCCTGTCCGTTCTAAAAAATTTCAGCCATCTTTTTTGTTCGCCAAAAACATCGATTTTTCATAACTTGACGTTTGCGTATCCAAATACGGAAGAGAACGGTAATAACCTTAAATGAAACCGGGTAAACTATTTCAAATTTCTACACAATTTTAAAGCCATCATTTTTTACTATTATGCATCAATTTTGGTGACCACCAGTCATGTCAATTTGTACCTGGTTTTGGCTGCGTTTCTACTTCAAAACAGTAAAGTTCAACTTCTTTTCATTGTACCTGTTTCCAAAGTACTCTTTAATACTGATTTTATTATAGATATGAATGAAATTGTGATTGAAAATTGCTGTTTTTCACAATTCCATACGATACCTCCATTTTAAAGTAATTAAAACCCTTTTTGATCCCCTACACAAATTGACGGTGACATTGTTTTCTTTTTCAACATACGTCATATAACGTTTACAAAATATGTGTCAGGGTCATGTGCATAGTAAAAATTTACACATTGGACAAGTGAAACAACAAACAAATTTCTTCTTTATGGCGTTTGAAACTATAGGTCTAAGAAAATTTCATCTATACTGGAAGCAAATATGACAAATTAATGATGGCCTATGGATAAACAAAAGCACAAAAATAGCAATAGAAAATACATTGCAAAGAAAATTTCTGGAGGAAAAAACATATGAAAAAGGAAATGAAGGTCAGTTAATTATATTTATATTTTATAAGTTAAAAACCTTGCTTATTAATTATCTCTTTACTGAGTAAGCTACATTAATGAGAGCAAACACTAGCTTTTCAAGTCAAACAAGAAATTAATCCATAGAGATGTGTACTTACAAAATTAAATTTATTCAAATGGCAAATTCTCGTCAAATTTAATCATCATTGATCATTATTAAAGTAAAATGCGCAAGATTTGTCATACCAACTTTCATTTCTGAGATTAATATCCAATTATTCTGGTAAAATATACAATACTTTGTTTATAAATATGTAAAGCAGCAGATACAGCAACCTGAAGAGAAGAAGCCCATTTTTTTTCAAAAAAAAAGGTTAATTTATAGATTATGAAAGTTT